CCGGGAAACGTCACCAGACCTCCAAGAGGTTCGACTGGAAACCGGGTCCAGTGTCCCATGCTCCTTACGATATTCATGCTATTTCTACCAAAAACCAGTAAATTGATCCATCTCCTCTTGTCCTGAAAAGAACTGAACCAAAGCAACACAACACCATCTGCTATAACGTTCTAARCTTGTTACTGTCCAGCTCTACTCCAGGCTCAATACCCGACGACAGAACATAGGGGTCTGAAACCGGCCCCCAAATTCCTTCAATCAAAAACCCTTACTCTATCCTAAACCCTCTGAGCGGACCCAGTATCAATCCAGTGTTTCGAGTTGCCTAAGCCGACAACCAACAGGCCCACTGTAATCCGCTATTGAGTTCCTTTCTCCAGCCAGCTGCAGACCGACAGTTTACCCTCGGGAGATACTTGTGCCAACCGATTGTTCAGCGCCCATGTCTTATGGAACCACAGCCAGCCCTTTTGTTGCCAGTCTGCAATTATAGTTAATCTGATTCTTGACTTAATGTGACTTTTCAGTTGCTCGAACCCCACATCTTCGTCCCTAAAAAACTTTTGATTCCGTGCCCACCAAATCGCACTCATAATGATGCCTCTGCATACCTGGGCTATATAGGACCACCCCTGATTCTTTGGAGGGAGTGAGCTGCTACCGCCCAGGAGGATCCACGAGTCTGTCCACTCATTTGAGCYGGATTTAATCCTGGAYCAGTGTTTCCTCCACCACTGCCAGATCTGCAGAGAATGCGGGCAATGTAGCCAGAGATGAGGAGTAGATTCTATCGCCCAGTCACAACGGACACAAGTCACTGATACGTTCATTCCTTTGTTTGCCAGCCAGGTTGCTGAGGGGATGGCCTGCATCGACTGCAACCATAGAGTATTAGCCACCTTTTGGTCCGGCAACTTACAGAGCAGTTCCCACAGTTGCAGCAGCTCCTCTTTTGTCACCCTATGTGCAGTCGCCCCTGACCATCTCTCCACTGCAACTGGACCCGGGAATTTCTTGATTTTGGAAAGCAAGTACTGTCTTCCCACTTTAGTGTCATAGTGTGCCAAGGGGACAAAAGAGCCCTTCTTTTCCGTATCTTTCCATCCATATAGGTAGGTTTCTACCTTGTATGATGTAGCATGTCTGCCACCAACGCAGGTCTCCTTTCCCTTAGGACCTGTTTTTACCCAGACTCGAGCCTCCTGTAAATCCCCATCGACTGTGACCCATTCTTCTTTCTTGAAGGTCAATAACTGTTCTTCCTGCGAAGTTGCTGATCTGGCCCAAACTTGGACTTTAACTCCTTGATTCGTTGTCGGACCCCTGATGCGCCACAGCAAGGTAGAGTCGAGAGGTGAGACTAACCAGGTATCGATTGCTGGGCACTGCGGCCTGCGCAGGAAGGAGACCCAAGAGTCTGGTACGGCTTCTTTCATGCTTCTAAAGTTCCTTTCCAGGTTACGCAGTCTCGGGAGCTTCTGCCTTAATTCGTCCAGGCCAATCCAGYCCCGCAAAGCAGGATCCCATATATCCTTAATTGCTATAACACCTTTTGGGGCCCAAGCTTTCCCGAAGTTTCCCGCTGCGTCAGTGGCCGAAAAAACCTCGTGCCCAGAAGGCTGAGTTATCCTCGGGTTGTCAAACAGAGGTTGATTCAAGACCTCCAAGTGAGTTGAAGGTTCCTTTTCCAATGAAGGTAGTATTTTGTTCGAGGCAAACAGGATATTTTTCCACACCGTTGAGTGAGGACTTTTCTAAGCGTAAGAAGGCATACACCGCCAAATGTCTTCAAAGTTTGAGAATTCCCATTCTGAGCCTAGGACATACTCTGCAAACAACTTCCATGGTTTTATCTGATGAGAGACCATAGCGAGTATCGGCCATCTGGCCAAAAGAGCTAGATTTTACTGTTTAGGGTCCAGGATGCCCAGCCCGCCACTTTTTTTGGGGGTTGATATCGTCTCCCAGGCTACCTTTGATACCGAGCCTTGGTTCTCCGCTGCTGTCGGTTTCCATACGAATTTGGCTGAACGCCGTCTTATTAAAGTGTACGCCTTGTCGCCTAAGAGATGGACAGTAAGTACAAACCACAAGGTGGAAAATGCAGCTGCCGTAATTACCAAGGCACGGCCAAACAGAGATAGAAATTTACCCCTTTCCCATCTGCCTATCTTCTCTACTACCTT